GTTAGAGATACAGGGTGAGTTAGAGATACAGGTGTTAGCGATACAGGGTGTGTTAGAGATACAGGGTGAGTTAGAGATACAGGTGTTAGAGATACAGGGTGTGTTTGAGATACAGGGTGTGTTGAGCTCACCGCACACCGAAACGCAGCGCCTCGCGGCGCGTCATTTGACGCGCGTTCATGACATGTGTCAAATTACACCGGAACGCCTTGGCTAGCGTCCTTTTCCAGCTGATATAGCCAATATAGCCAATAAAAATAGCTACAATTACCTATTGTTAGCTTACCTGTACATTCAATTTCAAGTGAAATTGCTCTCCAGGCAATTTCCTTTCGCACGATATCCTTATAAAAAGGATTCTGTGGGTTAAATAGCTCTGGGTAACGCTGTACTTGGGTTATCAAGCTTTCCTCGTCCATTGTGACCGGTTTACTTGAGCAATAGCGCCGACAAGTGTGTAAATTTGAGACCGCGCTCACAGCTACGTGATAAGAAGCGCAGAAGAAGAAAACTACGGGTGCTTGGAGGGACAGTTTCAGCCGCGGCGCCGCGTCTGGATTCAACAAAACTGAATCGTGGCGCCCGGTCCAGCGTCGCCGCGCGTCACTGCAACCTTGGTGTGCGTTCTCTCATAGAAAATAAAGGAGGCGGCTCTTTTGCCGCGCGTCAAGGCGTTTCGGTGTGCGTTGGGCTTTAGAGATACAGGGTGAGTTAGAGATACAGGGTGTGTTAGAGATACAGGGTGAGTTAGAGATACAGGTGTTAGAGATACAGGTGTTAGAGATACAGGGTGAGTTAGATATACAGGTGTTAGAGATACAGGGTGTGTTAGAGATACAGGTGTTAGAGATACAGGTGTCAGAGATACAGGTGTTAGAGATACAGGGTGAGTTAGATATACAGGTGTTAGAGATACAGGGTGTGTTAGAGATACAGGTTGAGTTAGAGATACAGGGTGAGTTAGAGATACAGGGTGTGTTAGAGATACAGGGTGAGTTAGAGATACAGGGTGTGTTAGAGATACAGGTGTTAGAGATACAGGGTGAGTTAGAGATACAGGGTGAGTTAGAGATACAGGTGTTAGAGATACAGGTGTTAGAGATACAGGGTGAGTCAGAAATACAGGTGTTAGAGATACAGGGTGAGTTAGAGATACAGGTGTTAGAGATACAGGGTGAGTTAGAGATACAGGTGTTAGAGATACAGGGTGAGTCAGAGATACAGGTGTTAGAGATACAGGGTGAGTTAGAGATACAGGGTGACTTAAGCCTAGCGTACATCGGACTGGCAACTGATTATATCCGTCGCCTCTGAGTTGCTGCCCCGCACACATCGACAATCTGGCGAAAACGGGCAACTCTGAGTCGCAGGCCAGTCTCTTGAATAACAGCGCGTACATCGACAGCAACTGGCCTCAACCACAGTGTGTTTTCTGACAACAAACTGTTGCGGGCTCGCAACACACGCAATACACACACGTTGTCGGAGCGGCGCATGGAGCGCGCACATCGGGGCAACTGAGGACAACTAGTTGCCGAAAAGTAGAACACGGGCAACTGACTGGAACTGGAGACCGACTGATCATCTCCAGTTGTAAGAGCGCGCACATCGACCGATTTCAACTGATCATCTCCCACCATCTCCTCTCAGTTGCCAAAAGCCGCCTTGCAACTAGTTGTCCCCAGTTTCTCTGTCGATGTACGCTAGGCTTTAGAGATACTGGTGTTAGAGATACAGGGTGAGTTAGAGATACAGGTGTTAGAGATACAGGGTGAGTTAGAGATACAGGTGTTAGAGATACAGGGTGTGTTAGAGATACAGGGTGAGTTAGAGATACAGAGTGTGTTAGAGATACAGGTGTTAGAGATACAGGGTGAGTTAGAGATACAGGTGTTAGAGATACAGGGTGAGTTAGAGATACAGGTGTTAGAGATACAGGGTGACTTAGAGATACAGGTGTTAGAGATACAGGGTGAGTTAGAGATACAGGTGTTAGAGATACAGGGTGTGTTAGAGATACAGGGTGAGTTAGAGATACAGAGTGTGTTAGAGATACAGGTGTTAGAGATACAGGGTGAGTTACAGATACAGGTGTTAGAGATACAGGGTGTGTTAGAGATACAGGGTGAGTTAGAGATACAGAGTGTGTTAGAGATACAGGGTGTGTTAGAGATACAGAGTGTGTTAGAGATACAGGGTGTGTTAGAGATACAGGTGTTAGAGATACAGGGTGTGTTAGAGATACAGGTGTTAGAGATACAGGTGTTAGAGATACAGAGTGTGTTAGAGATACAGGGTGTGTTAGAGATACAGGGTGTGTTAGAGATACAGGGTGAGTTAGAGATACAGGTGTTAGAGATACAGGTGTTAGAGATACAGGGTGTGTTAGAGATACAGGTGTTAGAGATACAGGGTGTGTTAGAGATACAGGGTGAGTTAGAGATACAGGTGTTAGAGATACAGGGTGTGTTAGAGATACAGGTGTTAGAGATACAGGGTTTGTTAGAGATACAGGGTGTGTTAGAGATACAGGGTGTGTTAGAGATACAGGGTGTGTTAGAGATACAGGGTGAGTTAGAGATACAGGTGTTAGAGATACAGGGTGTGTTAGAGATACAGGTGTTAGAGATACAGGGTGTGTTAGAGATACAGGTGTTAGAGATACAGGGTGAGTTAGAGATACAGGGTGTGTTAGAGATACAGGGTGTGTTAGAGATACAGGGTGTGTTAGAGATACAGGTGTTAGAGATACAGGGTGAGTTAGAGATACAGGGTGTGTTAGAGATACAGGGTGTGTTAGAGATACAGGGTGAGTTAGAGATACAGGGTGAGTTTAGAGATACAGGGTGTGTTAGAGATACAGGTGTTAGAGATACAGGGTGTGTTAGAGATACAGGGTGAGTTAGAGATACAGGGTGAGTTAGAGATACAGGGTGTGTTAGAGATACAGGGTGTGTTAGAGATACAGGGTGAGTTAGAGATACAGGGTGTGTTAGAGATACAGGGTGTGTTAGAGATACAGGGTGAGTTAGAGATACAGGGTGAGTTAGAGATACAGGGTGTGTTAGAGATACAGGGTGTGTTAGAGATACAGGGTGTGTTAGAGATACAGGTGTTAGAGATACAGGGTGAGTTAGAGATACAGGGTGTGTTAGAGATACAGGGTGTGTTAGAGATACAGGGTGAGTTAGAGATACAGGGTGAGTTAGAGATACAGGGTGTGTTAGAGATACAGGGTGAGTTAGAGATACAGGGTGTGTTAGAGATATAGGGTGTGTTAGAGATACAGGGTGAGTTAGAGATACAGGGTGAGTTAGAGATACAGGGTGTGTTAGAGATACAGGGTGAGTTAGAGATACAGGGTGTGTTAGAGATACAGGGTGTGTTAGAGATACAGGGTGAGTTAGAGATACAGGGTGAGTTAGAGATACAGGGTGAGTTAGAGATACAGGGTGTGTTAGAGATACAGGGTGAGTTAGAGATACAGGGTGTGTTAGAGATACAGGGTGTGTTAGAGATACAGGGTGTGTTAGAGATACAGGGTGTGTTAGAGATACAGGTGTTAGAGATACAGGGTGAGTTAGAGATACAGGTGTTAGAGATACAGGGTGAGTTAGAGATACAGGGTGTGTTAGAGATACAGGGTGTGTTAGAGATACAGGGTGTGTTAGAGATACAGGTGTTAGAGATACAGGGTGAGTTAGAGATACAGGGTGTGTTAGAGATACAGGGTGTGTTAGAGATACAGGGTGAGTTAGAGATACAGGGTGAGTTAGAGATACAGGGTGTGTTAGAGATACAGGGTGAGTTAGAGATACAGGGTGTGTTAGAGATACAGGGTGTGTTAGAGATACAGGGTGAGTTAGAGATACAGGGTGAGTTAGAGATACAGGGTGTGTTAGAGATACAGGGTGAGTTAGAGATACAGGGTGTGTTAGAGATACAGGGTGTGTTAGAGATACAGGGTGAGTTAGAGATACAGGGTGAGTTAGAGATACAGGGTGAGTTAGAGATACAGGGTGTGTTAGAGATACAGGGTGTGTTAGAGTAGTAGTAAGTAATCTTTATTTATATACCGCCTTTTCACTGCACATCGGAGTCTCAAAGCGGTTTACAATTGTTATTTTTTGGAGTGGGGCCAGTACAGGAGGCACATGCCAGACCTATTGTACATATTTTTAGTGGTAGGGGAAACCGGAGCACCCGGAGGAAACCTACGCAGACACAGGGAGAACATGCAAACTCCACTCAGAAAGGCCCTGGTCCAACCGGGATTCGACCCCAGGACCTTCTTGCTGAGAGGCGAGAGTGCTATCCACTCAGCCACCGTGCCGCCCAGAGATACAGGTGTTAGAGATACAGCTCTAAGTTGAGGTAGATAGTCGATTTATTTCTGTATTTTTAACCTTGTGCTTGTCTTGTTCACACTGGGACATATTCCAAGTGGTTTTACTGCAATTGGCAAAAACATGAATCTGAAGCTGAAAAAAAGAAGACAACAAAATGGTGGCTGAGCTGTTAGCACTCTCACTTCTCTGCAAGAAGGTCCTGGGTTTGAATCCCGATCGGAACAGGACATTTCTGTGTGGAGTTTGCATGTTCTCTCCATGTCTGCGCAGGTTTCCTCCGGGTGGTGAGGCTTTGATGCTGCAGTGTGTTCTCGACTTCTGTCATCACCGTGAGGAGAGAATAGAACAACATCTGAACTCTGTGAAGCTTTGGGTCCGTACCTTGGTCTGTAAAAGGCGCTATATAAATAATTACTTACTGTCTTACTGTAAACAACCTCACATTCCCAGTGTTTCGAGCCAGTTTCCAAAGAGACTGGATTTAACCAAAGAATGAATCACTATAAATAAATATATATATTCTCTCCTGAGAGTGTCCACCGGGTTATACCAAGTGCAAGAGTCCAGCAATTACCTTTGCAAAGCCTTCTGGGAGATGGAGACAGAGGCTTTGGTAATCCTAGCTACTGTTTGTGGGAAGAGGGAGTCTCATTAGATCCGAAGGCTTCCATCTGAACGCAGACCTCGGTGATGGAGAGGATCAATGTCCCGTCGTGTCCAGAGTGAGGAGAGGGCAGTGTCCAGAGTGAGGGAGAGGGCAGTGTCCAGAGTGAGGGAGAGGGCAGTGTCCAGAGTGAGGGAGAGAGCAGTGTCCAGAGTGAGGGAGAGGGCAGTGTCCAGAGTGAGGGAGAGGGCAGTGTCCAGAGTGAGGGAGAGGGCAGTGTCCAGAGTGAGGGAGAGAGCAGTGTCCAGAGTGAGGGAGAGGGCAGTGTCCAGAGTGAGGGAGAGGGCATTGTCCAGAGTGAGGGAGAGGGTAGTGTCCAGAGTGAGGGAGAGAGCAGTGTCCGGAGTGAGGGAGAGAGCAGTGTCCGGAGTGAGGGAGAGAGCAGTGTCCAGAGTGAGGGAGAGGGCAGTGTCCGGAGTGAGGGAGAGAGCAGTGTCCGGAGTGAGGGAGAGAGCAGTGTCCAGAGTGAGGGAGAGGGCAGTGTCCAGAGTGAGGGAGAGAGCAGTGTCCAGAGTGAGGGAGAGGGCAGTGTCCAGAGTGAGGGAGAGGGCAGTGTCCAGAGTGAGGGAGAGAGCAGTGTCCAGAGTGAGGGAGAGGGCAGTGTCCAGAGTGAGGGAGAGAGCAGTGTCCAGAGTGAGGGAGAGGGCAGTGTCCAGAGTGAGGGAGAGAGCAGTGTCCAGAGTGAGGGAGAGGGCTAACTGTGGCTAAAAGCAGAGAAAACACATCCTCAAAGAGCGACAGGAGACAAGGCTGGAGTAAAGAACAGTTTAAAGCGGCTGTGTACAAACTATAGTTATTTCTTGTATTACTGTATTCTATTCTTTAACAAAAGGAAACAGTCGGATGTTAACGTCACTCACCTTCAAAACATAACACGTGTCACATACGTTTGGAGATTTAATAATAATAATAATGCATCTGTGTTTTAAGTAGTGCTTTTTGTGTTGGTCCATGGTATGGTCCATGGTTAGAGTGGATGTATCGCCGAGTGGGCAGTGTCCCGGGCTGTGGGGGATGTAGCGGTCCATAATGGTAGAGAGGGTTTCTGTCACTTCTTTCCAGAACTGAAGAACAGGGGCGGAGCCAAACAGCATGTGTGTGTCAGTAGAGTTTTGTGTGCAGTTTTTGCATTTGTCAGTCCAGTGTTTTTCAACCAGTGGGCCGGGGACGTTAGTGGGCCTTCAGATGTTTTTCAGTGGGCCTTGGGAAATGACCCACCCACAATGAATCACCCACTTGGTCAAAAAACTCCAGGGACAGTGCAAATTAATGAACATTTCTGTAAATATGCCAGAATTAGCAAAGTGGATATTTTTTATATTTAGTCCCGTGTCTCCTTAAAGATAAAAACATCTTTGCTTTACAGTTAAAATAATGTGAGTTATTTTCAATATTTACAAGAACAAGACGAGAAAACATTCAGTCACACATCATTCAACAAACAATACACAAACATGAGACAGACACACAACACACACAGACGCACACAGATGCACACAGAGCAGGCGGCCAGCAGGGGGCAGCGAGAGTCTACTGCCACAGAACCACAGAGAAGAACCTCCAGGTCTGCTCTAGACTCTGTAGAGCAGGGGTCTCGCACCTGTAGCTCCAGAGACACCAGTAGCTCTCCACCCCCTTCCTGGTAGCTCGCCAAAGGATTTAGAAATGAACAAATCAAATAATAGACTTAATTTTTCAGATTTTGTTATTCATTATGATTATTTCTTATTGAAAATGGACTCACTTTGGGACTAGTAACAAATATGCCATAAATATGTTCACACAAATATATCACCATTTTTTTTCGAATGGCCGCTTAAATGAGTAGCTCTCTGCCTTTATCGTCCGTGGAAAGTAGCTCTCTGTTTGAAAAAGGTTGGGGACACCTGCTTTAGAGGGTAAAAAGCTGCTGATGTTAACCTTGTGCACAGACGTAGTTAATTAAATATGCCGTAATCACACACACAGATGGTTTTAACCGTAACGACAAGATCTCATCGAGGTGCAAGTCCTGCGTCTTCTCCCACTGATCCTCCCGTAGCCACAGCCGCCTCCAGCCCTGCCGTGAGCTCCTCGGGCTCGTTGTGGTCTTATTACCAGAGCAAAATCCCTGATCCACCGCCTCACGAGGACCGGCCGACCGTGGAACAATCCCAGCTCCAAACCACAGCCCCAAATCCAGAGATCAGCCGCCCAGAGCCCCCAGAGCCCCCAGAGCCCCCGGGACCAGACCGGACCAGACTCGGCCTTATGTGGGGCTGATGCGGAGCCACTTCATCTTTGCCTTTGGGCTTTGGGGGATGTAGCAGCAAATTGTGTGTGGTCCAGTGTGCGGTGATGTAGTCTGTGATTGTGTATCTCTTCATTGTGTGTCACAAAGTTCATCCTGAGAGAAACATCCACGAGATACACTGTCATCATTAAAGGGCCCTAATCTGTCATCATTAAAGGGCCCTAATCTGTCATAATTAAAGGGCCCTAATCTGTCATCATTAAAGGGCCCTAATCTGTCATCATTAAAGGGCCCTAATCTGTCATCATTAAAGGGCCCTAATCTGTCATCATTAAAGGGCCCTAATCTGTCCTCATTAAAGGGCTCTAATCTGTCATCATTAAAGTGCCCTAATCTGTCATCATTAAAGGGCCCTAATCTGTCATCATTAAAGGGCCCTAATCTGTCCTCATTAAAGGGCTCTAATCTGTCATCATTAAAGTGCCCTAATCTGTCATCATTAAAGGGCCCTAATCTGTCATCATTAAAGGGCCCTAATCTGTCATCATTAAAGGGCTCTAATCTGTCATTATTAAAGGGCTCTAATCTGTCATCATTAAAGGGCCCTAATCTGTCATCATTAAAGGGCCCTAATCTGTCCTCATTAAAGGGCCCTAATCTGTCATCATTAAAGGGGCCTAATCTGTCCTCATTAAAGGGCTCTAATCTGTCATCATTAAAGGGCCCTAATCTGTCATCATTAAAGGGCCCTAATCTGTCATCATTAAAGGGTCCTCTTCTGTCATCATTAAAGGGCTCTACTCTGTCATCATTAAAGGGCCCTAATCTGTCATCATTAAAGGGCCCTAATCTGTCATCATTAAAGGGCCCTAATCTGTCATCATTAAAGGGCCCTAATCTGTCATCATTAAAGGGCCCTAATCTGTCCTCATTAAAGGGCTCTAATCTGTCATCATTAAAGTGCCCTAATCTGTCATCATTAAAGGGCCCTAATCTGTCATCATTAAAGGGCCCTAATCTGTCATCATTAAAGGGCCCTAATCTGTCATCATTAAAGGGCTCTAATCTGTCATTATTAAAGGGCTCTAATCTGTCATCATTAAAGGGCCCTAATCTGTCATTATTAAATTATCATTAACTGTCTAATCCTACTGTCATTGATAAACAGTGTGTTGCTATGGTAAGTAGTACTAGCTGAGTGTTAACAGTCTGTTGCTATGGTAACTAGTACTGGCTGACTGTAAACAGTCTGTTGCTATGGTAGCTAGTACTGGCTGACTGTAAACAGTCTGTTGCTATGGTAACTAGTACTGGCTGACTGTAAACAGTCTGTTGCTATGGTAACTAGTACTGGCTGACTGTAAACAGTCTGTTGCTATGGTAACTAGTACTGACTGACTTGCAGGTGTCCAGGAGCAGCACAAACACATCCATCCAAATCAATATGTACTGTAGGTACAGTATAATGTAGTGTTGTTTTTGGCCTCAGACTTCACACAAGAGCAGACACATGTGACATCACACGTGCTGCTCTGTAGTCAGTCCTGCTGAATGAGCACCATGTGTCTTTGGAAAGGCCAGAGATGACAACTCTTCTTCTTTATTCACTAACAACAACTTTAATAGTACCAGTGTGTGATGTTTAAAGGGCAGAACTGTCCCTGAGCTTTACATTCATGACTTTATAATACGTCCCTGTGCTTCTTTGTGTTTGTGAATGTGTTAGTAACAAGGTTTGTGTTTCAAACAGACAGGGACAGGACATTGGTCTTTATCTGTCTCTCCACAGCCTCGCCCCAAAGAACCAGCTCTGAGGAGCACAGGGACCGGCCTCCTGCTGGGACTCTGAGGAGCACAGGGACCGGCCTCCTGCTGGGACTCTGAGGAGCACAGGGACCGGCCTCCTGCTGGGACTCTGAGGAGCACAGGGACCGGCCTCCTGCTGGGACTCTGAGGAGCACAGGGACTGGCCTCCTGCTGGGACTCTGAGGAGCACAGGGACTGGCCTCCTGCTGGGACTCTGAGGAGCACAGGGACTGGCCTCCTTCCGGGACTCTGAGGAGCACAGGGACTGGCCTCCTGCTGGGACTCTGAGGAGCACAGGGACTGATATCTTGTCTTTCTAACATCAATTCTCTCTGAACTCTTGGAGGATCAAACGTTACTCTGTTCCGTTCCTCCGTCCTCCAGGTGTGAAACATCAAAACTTTGAGGAGCAAAAGCTTCATATAAAAACTGTCTGAGTCTTATTATTATTACCATCATCGAGGCTGCGTGTGTGTAATTGTCACGATTCAACTTTTCACCATCAAAATGTACCACTGAGAAATGAACCAAGACTAAGTCTTGAAAGAGTTTATTGAACAAAAATGTGCTACAGTTATATGACACTGTGACATAATGATCCAGAATATAAACTTAATTCTCACTTCTTTATAATGCTAAAGCTAGAGTTTTATACTAGCTTCTTTATTATGCTAAAGCTAGAGATATTATACTAGCTTCTTTATTATGCTAAAGCTAGAGATTTTATACTAGCTTCTTTATTATGCTAAAGCTAGAGATTTTAGACTAGCTTCTTTATTATGCTAAAGCTAGAGATGTTATACTAGCTTCTTTATTATGCTAAAGCTAGAGATTCTATACTAGCTTCTTTATTATGCTAAAGCTAGAGATTTTATACTAGCTTCTTTATTATGCTAAAGCTAGAGAGTTTGTGTGCTGTGGGACCAATGAAGGATGTTCATCTTAATCCATATAAATTGCGTTGAGAATAAATTGTGTTTTACAAAATGCGTCACAAAAAAGGAAAGTTAAAATCCTGAATAATGACTTTCAGAGCTTCATCTTCTGCAGAGATGAGAAAAGACAGTCTGAGATTCACCGCAGGGAGACGGGAAATTAGGAGGTTTGGATTTTGAACATCATTCGAAAGAGTTTTCTGGTTCCTGCGCCTCCAGCGTCGTGCCGTTTCCGACTTCCATAAATAGAAAACGTAAACATAATAAACATAAACCTGTGAGTTGCTCGGAGGTAAACTTCCCCAGAGTCGACAGCTACAGCAGACCTCAGTGTGGTCTGTGCTGTGGACTGGTCTCGGTCTGGAATCTGGGACTGGACCCCTTAGCCCCGCCCCCTGGGACAGAAGGGGCGGGGCTACATGTTTGTGAAGCTTTTGCTCTTAGCGTGGATGGAGCTAAAATCAACTCCAGGTCTGTGACAGATGAAGAACTCTGTGGTGATATGGGATAAAGGAGTAGATTCTGTATAAGTCCTTGGTCTGTATAAGCATTTTTACAGACCAAGGTACAGACCTGGAGCTTTAGATGCTGGTCCATTCTCCCCACATGGTACTGAGGTGAGACTAGAACACACTGGACCATCAAAGCCTCCGACCAAACACCACCCATTCACTCATTACATTCAAACCGATTGTAATTTTTTTTTGTGGTAGAGGAATCCGGAGCACACGGAGAAAACTTAAACAGACACAGGGAGAACATGCAAACTCCACTCAGAGTTGGTAGAGCATTGGCCTTTGAGCCTGAAGGTTGTGGGTTCGAGCCCACCACGAGACTTTCTCCACCGACTCCCACTGATGCCTGCTGCGGTTGTGTCCTTAGGCAAGACACTTCCCCCACATTAGAATGAGTCTGGTGTGTGTGTGGATGGTTGGTGGTGGTGGGAGGGGCTTCTGTCAGTGTGCCCCAGGGCAGCTGTGGCTACAGTAGTTTATCATCATTGTGTTTGGAGAGAAAGAAGAATGATGTGAAGAGACTTTGAGAGTTCACAAAAACGCTGCATAAAACTGATCTGAACTGAATAAACATTATTATTATTATTATTAATATTCACTTATAGCCAGGAGCGGCTTATAGTCAGGCGTAGCTTATAGCCAGGAGCGGCTTATAGTCAGGCGTGGCTTATAGCCAGGAGCGGCTTATAGTCAGGCGTGGCTTATAGTCAGGCACTGGTTATAGTCAGGCGCGGCTTATAGTCAGACGTGGCTTATAGTCAGACGTGGCTTATAGTCAGACGTGGCTTATAGTCAGGCGTGGCTTGTAGTCAGGCGCAGCATTTCAGTCTAATCAATAAGTTTACAAATTTCAAAGTGATTAAAATTTCAAAATGACAAAAATTAGATGAGAAAAGCCGGATTATTTGTTTCATCCTATTTTTAATTTCAAATGGACCTTTAAAATCATTTATTTTAATTCTTTAACATCTTGAATATTTGTGTTTGTGTTGTGTTTTTAATTTCAAAATGAATCAATCTCCAGGTTTTTCTTTTCTCACAATATCATCTTTTTTTCTTTTTTTCAGATTGTTACTTTATTGTATTTTATTGTAAAATACTGTGGGAGTGACTGTTTCCCTTTGGATCAATAAAGTCTAAGTCAAACTTTGATGGATATATTTTCAAGTTCTTAAATACAACAGTCATAATCCAACATGAAAAGCTCCTCACAGAAAGGCCTCGTCAGTTCAGCGATGCAGATGTGACTCTTAAAAACTCTGTGACATTTGGATTTGGACCCAATCTTTTCCTGACAATGACATTTCCCAAACTTTTGAAAAGGATTTAACCGGAAACAGCGGAAAATAATCTGTGAAAGAGAAGTTTGAAAAGGTCGTTAATGACGTTATATTTTATTCATACAATAAAGTCCATTTGTCACGTTTGGAGGACTGCCAGAAATATAGGCCTTAAAGCAGCAGTGTGTAGACGTGTGTCCCAAAGTGGTACTGCAGCCTCTCCCACTCTCCCTGACTCAGGTTGCCAGATATGCAGACGAATCCAGCTGGGACCATAACAGCTGAATAGACAAGAGTTTAGTCAACAACAAATCTATAACCAACACCTTTTTCACAAAGATAGAAATCCTGGTTTTATTCCTTGTTTTGTCGTTAATGATTTGAGAATCATAACGAGACCTTTTTTAGTTCTGCGCCACATGGTACTTTACCAGTGAGATTAGCTCCACGCGGTGAGTTCTGGCGCCCGGATCACAGACTTTCTGATTGGTGAAACGGTGGAGGGCGGGACATCAAAATGAAAACAATAACAACATTTAGAGACTGGAAAAGTAATTTAGAAATTCAAATATCTCTGAACTACTGTTATCAGTTAAA